TTAGGAAAAACAAGTTGATCGCTGGGTCTACCATTGTTGATCTCAGTTGGGCAACGCTCGGCTGCTGGACTTGCTTGAGGTACTGGATTTGAGTCTGTGCAAAGCAAAGCAAACAATTACTACCAAATTAAAAAAAAAAAAAACCAGTATATTCCCTTTTGTTCCCTTGATTTACTGACTTATTTACTTATTTATTTATTTATTTGAGACAGCCTCAAGCTGTCTCCCTGGGTAGAGTGCCATGGCATAGCTCACAGCAACCTCCAACTCCTGAGCTCAAGAGAGTCTCCTGCCTCCACCTCCCAAGTAGCTGGGACCACAGGCGCTCGCCACAACGCCCAGCTATTTTTTTTCGGTTGCAGCCATCATTGTTTGGCGGGCCTGGGCTGGATTAGAACCTGCCACCTTAGGTGTATGTGGCTGGCGCCTTAGCCACTTGAGCCACAGGCACTGAACCTACCGACTTATTTATTAAGCACCTTTCCCCCCTTTGATCTTAAAATTCTCTAGAGAATAAATTAAAACCAACTATTTATTTAAGGTTATTCATGAAGGAATTCAGGCCATTTGATTGTGCCTCCATATCTGTGGCATTTAAATAAAGAGGCATTATCCTACTTTACAACCAAAACAGTACCAAAAAAGGCAGGAGTTAAAACTAAAAAACAGAAAACTAAATAGGCTGACAAGCCACCAGAAAAGAGCAGAGTTTAAAATATAAATTACAGGGCAGCACCTGTGACTCAGTGAGTAGGGCCCCGGCCGCATATACCAAGGGTGGTAGGTTTGAATCCAATCCTGGCCAAACTGCAACAAAAAAATAGCCAGGCATTGTGGCGGGCAACTGTAGTCCCAGCTACTCGAGAGGCTGAGGCAAGAGAATCACCTAAGCCCAAGAGCTGGAGGTTGCTGTAAGCTGTGATGCAATAGCACTTTACCGAGGGCAACAAAGTGAACTGTCTCTAAAAAATAAATAAATAAATAAAAATGTATAAATTATAGGCTGGGAGCCCATAGCTCAGTGGTTAGGGCATGGGCCACATGCTCCAGGACTGGTAGGTTCAAACCTGGGCTAGGCCTGATTAAAAAAAGG